TGCACCAGCCCCTTACGGATCCTCCTGCAGGTGGTGGGCCCACAGGAGGACGTCCCCACGTCGCTCATTTGGGCTAAGCTCGGCCGGGCCCCGTGAGGGGAGGCCTGGCCACCAGGCGCTCGCATTCGAGCCCCAACACCGGGCCTGGCTCCAGGGGGGGACCCCAGCTGCGCCATGCCGGGCAACGGCATGGTCCATGATTTTAGCCTATTCATAAAGGGCTTTTGAACAACTCTTAGTCTGACCCGTCACCCAGGACCTGTTTGCCTTGGGAGACCCTACCAGAGACATATAGCCCCCAACAACATAGCTCCTAGGATCACTCGGGTACTCAAACCCCTCCACCACAATAAGGTGGCGGTTCAAGGAGGGATTATTAATTCACACGTGCCTCATATGTGCTGCTGCTGCTCTGTAGTAAATTAAGCAAACAGTTGATGGTTCCAGGCTGTGAAATAGCTGCTTTTCATGGTCTTACACTGTAGTACATTACATTTTAATTGCTTGGTTTGGACTGTTTGTCAGACCACACAAGACCTCTAAAGACAGTTTGTTCTAATCTTTTATAAACCAAAGGATTAATGGGTTAATTGTGAAGATAACTGGCAAATTAATGAAAATAATTAGTTGCAGCCCTACTCTGCTGTTCTCTTTTTTTGGAATGCTTTGCATTAGCAACAGGTTTGAGTGTTTTAACACAGCCCAGTAGCATATCTACTGCAGCTGTTTTACCGCAGCTCAGGTGGGTTATAAATGAACCAACCTGATCAGACAACATACAAATCTATTTTTAATGCCTTGAACCTGACCAAAAGAATAAAAATTTGCTACATCTCAAATTTTCAGCTCAACTGATAAACTGTCACAGTGCTACACTGATGTTATAACCAAGGTCAGTCCAATAAAAACCTCCTAGTGAGTACATCCATTATTTGGTTTCATGTCTCAAACTCTCATCTTTAACATTCTGCACTTTGAGATGCTGACAAATCAAAGTTACCCTTTTTCCAAGTACCAGTGTGACTGTGACCAATTTAGGTGGACCAGTTTAAATGCACTTTATGAATCGGTGCTCATTAAACAAACATAATATGTAATTCTTAATCTGAAACAAAACAACATCCTACATTGACCTTGTTAAGTTATGTTGACTCAAATGTAACTGCCAACTTAAATCCTTTACTCCAACTACTGCCACATTTGCACAACCACTCAGCAGATTAACTCACTGGGCTGTTTGAGACGGAGCTCCATGGCAAGGTCACACGCCTTCTCCCTTCTGCCCTCGGCCATCAGCAGCCTCTCTCTGCTTTGCTCAGCCCGGTGCTCCAGCAGCTGGCGTTCTGCCTGTCGGTAAACCCGCAGCAGCCGCGAACACAGAGTCTGGTGCAGTCGCAAGAAGAAATACCAGTTGTTGTTGACAAAAAAAAGGTTGTAAACACCGTCCAGCTCCTTCTGGTGCTCTGCCTCAGGGTCGCGCAGGTCCACCTTTTCCCCAGCTGCACCTGAACCCATCTCCATAGGTGTAGTTCCGGGTGTGGATGTGGTGGTCCCTGCAGGCTGGTTCATGCTACTGGAGGTGGTGGAGGCCTCTGTGTTTGTAGGTTGGGGTGGGCTGCAGCGCCTCCGCCTAGACTCGCCATTCAGCTGCTGCTGGGGTTGGGACTGGTTCTGTGCAGGCTGGGGTTGAGACGGACCACCTGGGGCTGCCGCTGCTCCTGATGAACTACTGGAATTACCATTACCTCCCGCTACTGCTCCTCCTCTCTCTCCTCCCTCCTCAGGCTCAGCCTCCTCATCTGTCCATTCCTCAGTGTCACTGAGCTCGCCGCGGCGGGAGAAGAATAGGTCGGGGACAAAGTGCTGGATGATGCGTTTGATGTGGTCCTTGTCATCTTTGTGGATGGTGGGCTGACGTTTGACATGGTAGATGATGAGTGAGGCAGCATCCTCCAAGATCTGTTTGTCCTCATATGTAAACACCATGTGAGGCTCGCTGGACGATGCCCAACAAGAGCCGTTATGGCCCTGCTGGCCAACACCT